AATGGAGATCCCATCTGGAAGTTTTGTCACAGCAACTACCACAATTATGAATGATTTGGGCTTGGAAGGAGTGACTACTGCTCTAGGGTAAGAAATGACAAAAAAAGGAAAGATAGGACTAAGTGGAAGCCTCCAAGAAAAGAAGAATTGAAAGATGATACTAAGTTCATAAAATTCTTATTAGACATCGAGGATGAGGATGAGGAAGACAAGAATAGGGTTGCTGGTGATGAAAGCTTTGATGTTGTTGTTTTTCTAAGCAACACTGATACAACCACTGTTAACAGTGAACTAACTCTACCAACTGTGGATAGTATTACTGAGTTAAGCACAGTGGTTGGACCATCATAATCAGTATAATAAACAAAATAGTAACAATTATTAAATATGGATGATAGTTTGCTCATTCCGTTGCTCATTTGGTTGCTTGTACAGATGCTTATTTTGTTGTTGCTTCATTGATTGCTTTGTCGATTGCTTTGTTGATTACTTTGTTGGTTGCTTTGTTGCCAGTTGCTGATACTGTTGCTGGTTTGGTTGCTGGTTCTCACAATCCACCATCTCCTCCTCCTCACAATTCATCTCCTCATAGTCAGCTGAATCAAAGGAAAAGCTTTGGTCCATGTAGTAAGGGTGTCCCCACTCATTGAAGGCAAATTCTTTTGCACACTGGATACAAGGGGTTAGGTTGTTTTCCCTCTTCATTACTGTCCTGTAGATCTTAAAGAACCACTCATGTTTATCACCAACGCTCATTGATGGAGGCAACAGTGGCTTTGCAAAGCAAGCCAATTCAATAGCCTTTGCAAGATTTTTTTAAGTATGTCTTCTTTAAACATTTAGCACATGTCTCATTCAGCTCCTAGTTGTATGGGGTAGGCTTCTTATGCCACTCCCACTCGACAATCCACTTCCAGTCTTGATTCAATACAAATTTGACTTGTGATGAGGGATTGTTGATTATTTCTGGTGGAGGGAGCTCAGGAGCTTTGGGTGGAGGCACAGAGGTATCCATAACTATTTGAATCTTCCATCCAACCCATTGGTCAATTTGTTGTTGCTTTATTGACTCAATTGCTTCCCTTGCCTTTGATGTCAGGTGCCGCTTCATTTCCATGTTGCCCTTTACAATTGTGAGCTTGTGCTGTGGCATCCAGTACTTGTAAGCACAAGCCTTGGGACCTTTGTACACAAGCATTCTGCTGGCTTGATGCCTTGCCATCTTTGTTTTGGCTCTCCTCCTGTTTAATTTCGCCCTTTGCTTTGGACGACAACCAAACAAAATTGCTCCAGTCCATCGTGGTGGGGGAACTGACTCTGGAGAGCTGTTGGCATGTTGATATACATCCTTATGGAGGTCTTCAATGAGGAAGTCTGGTGTTTTAAGTTGCTCAGCTTGCTTCTTTTGCTGCTTGCTTTTTTCAGCATCCTCCATTTTTAGCAGGGATAAGGCCCAACAACAAACAGAGCAACTGTTTGTAGAGCATCTTCTTGAAGATTCTTGAAGAAGAAGAGAACTGGGGATAGATTGATAAGATCTGGTAGATACTGGGGGCTGGAGGTGTTGTTGTTGCTGTCTGACACAAGTGTCCGAAACAACAACATCATAACCAGAATCTGTTCCCAGTCCTTGAGGACTGGGGATGGATCCAGCTGGGGCAAATTGCAAGCACCAGCTCATGGTGGGGTTACTGGGAATACTTATCTCAGCAGTATCAGCTTGGGTGGATTATGTAATGGGAACTGAGGGTGTTGTTATTGCTGCCCAACACAGATGTGGGAAAACAACAACATTGTGACCGGAATCTTCTGGTCTGTAAACACTGGGACTGGCTTGGAGATAAGGCTGGTGAATCTTCTTTAAACTGAGTGTGTAGCAAATACTCCAGGCATTGTTCTTCAAAGGATAGGTCTTGGTTGAATACTGGGGGCTGGGGTTGTTGTTGTTGCTGTCCAACACAAATGTTGGAATCAACAACATTGTGGCCAGAATCATCTTCTGGTCTGTAATTACTGGAACTACATGGAGATGTTGGGGAATCTTCTTTAAAAACTGAGAATGATGTAGCATATACTCCAGGGATTGTTCTTCAAAGGATAGGTCTTGGTTGAATACTGGGGGCTGGGGTTGTTGTTGTAACAAAAATGTCAGAAACAACAACAATGTGACATGAAAACTTCTGGTTTGGAAAGTACATGGGCATGGAGCTAGGGCTGATGAATTGAAACTGAGTATGATGTAGCATATACTCCAGGCATTGTTCTTCAAATGATTGGTTTCGGTTGAATACCGGGGACAGGGTTGTTGTTGTTGTTGTTGTTGTTGTTGTTGTTGTTGTTGTTGTTGTTGTTGTTGTTGTTGTTGTTGTTGTTGTTGCTGTCAAACACATCTTCACTGGAATACACTGGTTCTGGTCTGTAAGAACTGGGGATGGATCCAGCTGAGATAGACTGCCACAGACTGGGGGGAGTGATATTAAATAAGTCTAGTCTTGGTGATTAGATTGCCTTTAGAGGTCAGGGAGGTGGGCTTTCCCCTTCCAAAGGGGTGTCACTATGGTGATATCAGAAGGTCTTTGTCAGGTATGTATGTACATAGGAATCAGTAGGAAATCTAGGTGATAATTTTCAGAACCACAGTGTAATTTTGTGTGTTTGGAAAATTTGTTTTACAAATTATATGGTTGTTGCTGAGATAAAACTTCCTGAAAATCATAGCACGCACAAAATGGCTAAAATCCCATGAGGACATAGTATAAGTTGAATCATTTACCACTAAACACACCTTAAGAGGAGGAAAAGAAATTGACAAAAATATTTTCTGAATTATTCATTTGTCAGGTTAGGATTCTTAAAAATAAGAAGCAGGAGTGAAGTAAGAACTTTAGAGATAGTAGTAGTACTACTAGAAAATCCAAATTAACCAATACTTCCCATTACTACTAGTACAACAACAAAAACAGCAAGATTTTATTGTTTTCTTCTTGTCATTTTGTTTGTTTGTTTGTATGAAGGAATTCTAGTAGTGGTCTAACAGTTTGGCAATCTAAAATTGCTACTTTGTAGTAAAATCAAATCACCAATCTTCCAGCTTCATTGTCAGCAATTGTATGTGGTGACATAATGAACTATAAAATTTCAACTCATTTGCAGTTGTGGTGATGGTGGTGGTCCCAGCACAACAACTAATGGATCAAAGGAGACTACTAGTAGTACTAGTACTTTGCTACTAGTAGCTACTACTAGTAGTACTAGTAGGACTGGGTGTTGCGCTGCTGGGTGTGGTAGTGGTGGTGGTGGTGGTGGTGGTGGTGGTGGTGGTGAAGAAATTGTTGGCATGGAGATGGATCATAAAATTCTAATTGGTTTTCTTGATTTTGAAAGTTGCAAAAAAGGATGCCACCTACTGTGATGATCAGCAATTCTTGATCATAGTTGGCATGTAGGTGCAGGTATCACCAAAAGAAATGTCTACTTTTGATTTTGTTCTTGTCATCAGCAGTTCTGATCAGTCAATTTTTAAAGTAGGTGTGCCTGGGCCCTCAATTAGTATTTTTTAATCAAATAGTTTCCTGTAAACCCTGCAAAACAAGAACAAACAAAGATAATTTTCCCTCCTTGTTTAAAGGGCAATATTCTCATTGTTTCTTCTTGTTGTTGTAACAAAGAGAAATACAAAGAATACTATTACCTCTCCTTGTTTCTCTTTGTTTCCCGTTGTTTAAATGAGGAGAAACAAAGAGAATATTGCCTGGGAAATGTTTGCATTGTTTCTCTTTGTTTAAGCAGAGTAAATATAATTTGGGCAGTTCCTGTCCATAGTAGTAGTGTAGTATTACAAGAAAGAGAAACAAAGAGAATGATATTACGACCTGAGCAATATTAGTACTACTACTACTACTACTACTACTACTACTACTACTACTACTATCATAGTAGTACTAGTATTTGTTTCTTTATGTTTAGACAGGAGAGAGAAACAAAGAGAACATTGCCTCTCCTTGTCTCTCTTTGGTTTGCCAATTTTTTTACATAGAGGAACAAAGACAATATTGCCTGGTTGAGCAATACTCTCTTAGTTTCTCTTTGTTTAAACATGGGAAAAACCGAAAAACCTACAGTGTGGGAAACCCTGATCTTGGTTGGCGACTGTTTTCCTCAAAAACTAACAGAGGGCCCTGGGAATCTAAGTTTTCGAAAAAAATTGAATTCAAAGATGTTCGAGCGAAGTTTGGGCGTAATCTTCATAGTGATCGGGGTCACGGGTCACGCACGGGTTCTTAGTTCGTTACTGCACTTTCTGAAAGCTTTGCGTACTACGAGTACTAGCAAGCACGTGCGGGTACTTTACTCCTTGCGGCGCTCCCGTACGAACTTGTACAGACCGGCCGGTACGACTAATGACCCCGGCCAACTTGTACGGGTACTACGTACCTACGTTTGTGCTCGTTGTCGTATCCGGGGTGCTCGTATCCATATTAACCAAGTGCGGGATTCTCTTCTCGTTGGTGATGCTTTTGATCTTCTTCCGCGTTCTTCGCCTTCTGCTTCTTTACCCTACCAATCTTATCTCAAATTTTCTTTCGTGTCTTTTTGCTCCTTGTCTTCTCCATTATCTGCAAACGTATTTATACATCAATAAAATCTATTTTGGTGGTCAGCAACGATCAATAAAAAATTGCAAGCACTATTACTATAGGACTGCGACTAACACATATCGGTATTTCAACTCGTAAAATCGCGATGAATTCAACTAAATTTGCATCGAAAATAGTGACGTCGGTCGCCCGTCCTAGTGTGCGTTCCATGTCGTCGACCGCAAACGTGTGGGTCGACAAGAATACGAAAGTTATTTGCCAGGGCTTCACCGGAAAGCAGGTATGTTGCAAATTTAGTATGTTTTTGTGTTGCTATTACTTTTGGTCCGCCGCTGTCTCTTTTGAAAAGGTGGAAATTCTCATAATTTCAATGACGAGAATCACTCGGTCCGACGTCCGAATCTCATTACTTTTCATTTCTTTGGTTTCTACGCTAAAAATCGCCCGGTATCGTTTCCGTGTCTTGTTCTACTACATTTCAGGGGACATTCCATTCCACGCAAGCAATTGAATATGGGACGAACATGGTGGGTGGAGTAACGCCAAAGAAGGGCGGGCAAGAGCATCTCGGCCTTCCCGTTTTCAACACCGTCATGGAAGCAAAGGACGCCGTACAACCAGACGCATCTGTCATTTACGTTCCCCCCCCGTTCTGTGCCGCTGCTATTATGGATGCAATCGAAGCCGAGATCCCCCTAGTTGTGGCTATCACCGAAGGTGTCCCTCAGCAAGATATGGCAAAAGTAAAATACGCCCTTCGACAGCAGTCGGCAACGAGATTGATTGGTCCGAACTGCCCTGGAATCATCAAACCAGGCGAATGCAAGATTGGAATCATGCCTGGATATATTCACACGCCTGGAAAGATCGGAGTTGTCTCTAGAAGTGGAACACTAACATACGAAGCGGTTCACCAAACGACCGTGGCTGGGCTTGGACAATCCACATGTGTTGGTATCGGTGGAGATCCATTCAATGGAACCAACTTTATCGACTGCTTGGAACGCTTCACAAACGATCCCCAGACAGAAGGGATCATCATGATTGGTGAAATTGGTGGAAGTGCCGAGGAAGAGGCCGCCGAGTGGTTGAAGGAATATGGTGACCCGAATAAGCCAGTGGTTGGGTTCATTGCTGGAACCACTGCTCCACCGGGACGTCGAATGGGTCATGCTGGGGCTATTGTAGCAGGAGGAAAAGGAACAGCCGCGGCTAAGTTTGAGGCGTTGGAAGCCGCTGGTGTGCACATATCGAGATCTCCGGCCCAGTTGGGTGCCACGATGCTGAAGGCTATGGGTTTGGAATCCGAATAAACCTTCTCTCGGGTGTGATTGCGAATTTATGGTGCATGATTGCGTCTTGATGTGCCAAAATGTGATTGTGCTACAAAAATAGGCGTAAGACAGGACCGGGCGGTGTAGTAGACAAAGCCATTTTTTGCGCTTTGCGATTTTTTATGAAAACATCAGCGAAAAGGTCCTCTAGTCTTGAATGGTAGAGAGAGCAGTAACCAATGCGGAGGCTGCATTAACAATACATAGATATTTGGTACAATAAATTCAGAATTTCCTATGTCGGAACAAGTAATGAGCTCTTAACAGTAGCAATCATAGAGTAGAGTGTTGTGCATCGGAGAGCCCAGTTTTAAAAGCATGCCATGCGATACAAACTATTTATTTTCCAGGAAAGCTGCATTGCTGTTTTCTCAAAAGCACCAAATTGATCAAATTGAAAGAAAATATAACAGCTCTCTCTGCCACATAAAACAGATTTGAAAAGGGAACACCTCGGAGTTGGGTTTCTCTGAAAAAGGAACAAGGTGAACACTGAGGAAGAAGCAACCATCTCTTTCCCAAATAGAAAAAGATGGCGCGTTCCAATAAAATGTCCATCCTCTTGGTTGCCTCTAACAATATCGAACTGAAAAACAAATCGTTACCTTTATTTCGATATCATGTATGGTGACCAGACGGAAAGAATTCGTCGTTACGCAATGAGAAGTCGGAGAGCCACAAAAAGAAAAGCATTGATTTGTCTACAGCTGCAGTAGCGTATATTCCTTTCCTAGATATAAACGACAGTTGACTTTAATCAGTTCTTAAATGGCCCAATGATCAGGAAGGGCATCATTCATACGACCACCAACTTCTGGTGTGTCGTTTGAAATTCCACAGATTAATTTTTATCGTCTTCGTCGTCAAGAACATTGGTCTAATACCGAACAATTCTTCAATCAAAATCCCCGAAAAAAGCGATCCTTTGGCGCCTCATTCTTTATCACATTCAAACAAATACAATGAACCGTTGATGGTCTCAGTCCCTAGTTACTGAAAACCAATACGTTTTTTTCGATGCACCTAGTTCAAGGGGTGTTTTTTCTAGCCTCGGCTTGGACTCTTCTTTTATATTCAGTTTTGTTATGAATGAAAAGCTGGTATGCTTCGGATTGAGCCGGACTGTTGGGATTCGGATCATCAAGTAAATCCTGGATTCCAATCAGAACCTGTTTTAGAGTAATGGCAGGACGCCAACCCTCTTCTTCGTTCAGAATAGACAGACAAATCGTTCCCGATGGATACACATTAGGATGGAATAAGGGAGGAACAAATTTGCCTACGAGATCAAGTAAGACGTAGACAAAAAAACAGAGGGGAATAGATGAGAAAGGTTGACACGAAAATTTTAGGGTAAAACGAAGCACTACGAAAAATATTGAAAACAAGGCCTCTCAGCGAATCGCTCTGGCAACAGTATTAAGCAAAGACTCACATTTTGGTGGTTTCGACGGATAGTCTTCGCTGAATTCCATCGAGACCTTGAAGACACCGTTTTCCCAATCAGTTCCTTCCTTTCCTGGGATGCCCGCCTCCCATTTCATAATGTCCGAGCTCCCATCACCTTTGCTCGTTGGACGCGCATAAAATCCAAAAGGGTGATCCCTCCTCCAAGCCTTCCGCTCTTCGACCAGGCGGCCTCTAGCTATTCCGCTCGACATTGTTGGTGATCAATGTTTTCTTCTTGTTGCTTTATCAATGAATTCCTACAACAAAAAGTGATAGTTCCGCTTCTCGGCTGTAAAAAACAATGTCTCCCTCTTCGTCGATGGTGCGGTAAAAATTTGTGAAGTTGTCGTCGGACTAAGAGAGTTATTTTTAGTACGTTTCCAACTGGTAGTGTTCGACGTTCACAATACCTGTCTGCACTGCACATTTCCTTCAATTTTTTGGAGAAATACCACATAACAGTAGTACAGTAGTACTATTAGTACTACTTGTATTGACAATACTTAATATTTCTTTCAAAAATCTTAATATTATATTTAACCTTGTGAACTACTAATAGAAGAGGCACTACATGGCCAGAACCAGCATTGCTGCTCCTGACTACTACTAGTAATAGAGAGAAGAATTCTCCTCCTACTAGCTATTCCAAGAAGGGACAGCACCTCCTCCCTCCAAGGAGGATTTGTGGTGGAGGAGCGACAAGGTTCTATGCATACTGACAGGGTTTGTGGAGGAGCAACTACTAGGTTCTATGCATACTCTCAAGCCAATTAAGACAGGTCATTGAACTCAGGATACAGAGAAGGAGTTGGTTCACAGTTTGGATGGATGAGAGCCATCATGATATCATGATCATTTCAAAGTGCACTGCCAAGCCAGAAGAACAAAGCAAGTCTCTCCACAGTGATCAAGGAAACAAGTGCCAAGCACAACTCAGGATACAGAGAAGGAGTTGGTTCACAGTTTGGATAGATGAGAGCCATATCATGATCATTTCACAGTGCACTGGTGCCAAGCCAGAAGAACAAGGCAAGTCTCTCCACAGTGATCAAGGAAGCAAGTGCCAAGCACAACACTGCTAAGCCAATTAAGACAAGTCACCTCACAGTGGGCAAGGACACATGTGGTGGAGTAGTCAAAAAATCAAAATCAAAAAGAAAAGCCAAAAGAAAAAAGAAAACTGACACAATTTTTCAAAGAGCTGGCTCCTCAACCCTAAGGAGCAGCAGCTTTTTGTGAAGCCTCTTCTTAAAGAAGATAACTCAGGATAGATTGATAAGATTTAGATACTGGGGTGGATAAGATTCTGGTCAAGATATTGGCAGACAGCACCAACAACAACCCTAGCCCCCAGTTTTCAACCAAGATCTTCCCTTTGTAGAACGACATCTGGGGAATATGCTACATACTCAGTGTAAAAGAAGATTCCTTAGCCTCTCCATGCACCAGTTCCAGCATTTGCTGACTGGATGTTGGTTTCAGTCACAATGTTGTTGTTTCCTACATTTGTGTTGAGCAGCAACAGCAACAACCCCAACTCCAAGTATCCAAACCAGTATTCCTTGGAAGAACACAGACTGGAGTATATGCTGAATGATGCTCAGTTTCAAGAAGATTCCTCAACCTCTATGTCCMAGTTCTTCTTTCTGACTAGAACAAACAGTGTCTTCTGGTCCCAGGAATGTTGTTGTTTCCAACATTTGTGATGGACAGTAACAACACCCACCCTAACCCCATTCTAGATCTTATTGATCTATCCCCAGCCATCCTCTTCTCCAAGAAGGAGCTTCACAGACACTTGCTCCTCCCCAAAATATCCAAGCAACAGTTACCTGTAGGTTGGGCCCAGCTACGGTGCACCAAGACCAAGTTACTAGTTTGTTAACTGTTCTTTTTCTTTTTGGCTCTCTTTTTACTTTTGGCTTTTATTTTTTATAACTACTTCACCACCTCTATCTTTGTACATTGAGGGTGATCTTGCCTTAATTGGCTTAGCAGTGTTGTGCTTGGCACTTGCTTCCTTGATCACTGTGGAGAGACTTGCCTTGTTCTTCTGGCTTGGCAGTGCAAAGATCTATAGGATCAAGTGATCATATGTATAAGTCATAGGTATGAGTCATATACAATGTGATATCCTACAGACAGCAGTTGTTGTTGTTGTTGTTGTTGTTGTTGTTGCAACAAGAAGATTGTCACATGATTCTACTTTTGTTTGTTTTAAGAATTACTTTGTGTTTCCCAACTTCTGGTTGAAAGATGAAGAAAAGAGTTGTTGCTAGTACTGTACTAGTTTTTGCTCACATTGTGTTGTTGAACTTTGTACTGCTGTAGGGTTTGTTGTGCCTTGTGCCTTGTGCCTTGTGCCTTGTGCCTTGTGCCTTGTGCCTTGTGCCTTGTGCCTT